GCAGAGTGATATGGCAATGGAGGATGGTGGCGACGCCGAGATAAAGTTCCGACTTCCGACTCGAGAAGAAGCAAGATAGATAGATGTGTGAAGGAAGGAAGAAGAGTCAGATTCTCGCGGCGCTCATTTTAGGTACAGTGAAACCGATCGATCTGAATTTGGGCCGGGCCAGCTGTTCTTTAAAATAAATGCTACTCCTCCCTAGTATCTGTATTTCGAATATAACTGGGCCCCGCTTGTTTCGGAACACTAACCAAAGCGGACTGATAAATTATGAGTCCCGAGCCCCCAAAAATAGAGACTGGGCCGGTTCTTATATTTTTCAAACCCTAGTTTCCTACTCAATTTTAACTTTTCCCTTAATTGTCGTTATTCCTTACCATTTACCGAGTAATACGGAGTACAAACATATACTACTTCAGTTCCACAAAATTCTTTCAGTTTTGACTATAGGAAAAAATAAGAAAGTGTAATTTTGGTTGACTTTCCAATTTTGCCCCTGATGTGATGGGAAAAAATAAGATGTGATAGTTTGGTTATTAGTGAAAAAGTATGATGTGATAGGTAGGGTATGAAAAAGTAGGGTTAAAAGTGGTTTTTTAATAGAAAGTGGAAGTGTTTTGTGAAAAGCAAAAAAAACGAAAGAGCAAGAGTTTTGTGGAACGGAGGGAGTATTTTTTAAAAGAATTTTTTGCGTCATTTACCCGTAAACTATTTAAAAATTGTACATATTTACCTTGAATTTTAAAAAACAGACTAATGGTTCCTTTATTTTTAAAAATGTTGCACGAATACTCGAATAGTTCCTCTATTCCAGATTTGGAGGTGCGTTAATCACACGCAACATTTTTAAAGGTTCAAGGGGTACTCATGCAATTTTTAAAGTATACGGTGAATCCACGCAGTTTTTAAAAAATTTAAGAGTAAAGTAGTGTAAAAACTCTTTTTGAAAAGAATTTTTTTTCTTTAATACAATACTTCGCCCGGTAATGTTCTTCCCATTTGACATTTTCACGGTCTCCAATATTGTACTTTGATCATTAATATCTATATTTATACATAGATATATTTAATAAAAATTTGATATTTGAAAACTACGTTTCATTATGAATATATTGATAGAAAATTTACATCATAATACAATATGTTTTTTCCATAAATCGTAGTCAAAGTTTATAAATTTTGATCAAGAAAAGTCAAATGTGAAGAAATTTTCGGACGAGGGAGTAGCTAAGTATATTTTTTTTGTAAACTATCAACTAGGCATGGGCATTATACTAATCCATTTCTGAAGTCAATATCTACTAGAATTTGATAGTAATAATGGTAGAGTTCGAATTCTAATTCCAATTTCATACTTGCAATTCTAGTAACGGGTCGTAGTTGTATCATATCCGGTCCTACCCTGATGTATGTAGATTAATTTTAAAAATACTAACGCTAAAAGTCGGTTACAATTAAATACAAAGCTAAAAGTTGGTCCTAAATTCTAATGTTGTTTATCTTCTTTTTTTTTTATAACCAATAAATGCATGCATGCATAAGGCATGACACATCTTCAATTCCAAGAGAAAACCAGAAAGTGTAATATAATTTACGTGTGATTAAGGTACGTACATATATATATATATATATATATATATATATATATATATATATATATATATATATATATATATATATAGTTAAGCATGCGTGGGTGCATGGTTTACATTATATATATACTCCGTATGGTACTTACATACATATACATACGACGTATTGTTGCCAACTACCTAATAAGCTAGCTGCCAATCCGATCTGCATAATTAATATACTCATAGCACGAGTCCTAGTACGTATAGATATATACGGAGTGCATGTGTTATAGTACGTATAGTATAATTAATTAATTAATAATGAGGGGTGGTTTTGGAATAAAAAGGGTAGCAGTAGCATCAGAGTGGGGATTTTTGAGGTTGGGGACAGGAGCTGCTGGCCTCCTTGTGGCCATCACTATCTGCAGCTTCTGCTCCTGCAATGCCCAAACTCTTCCCCATCATAATGATAATTATAATAATAATAATAATACTAATACTAATTCTTCATCTCCGGATGCAAGCGTTTGTGCCAAAGCCATTGCAGTCTATGGTTACTAGTGCCAGGAATATCTTGTACGTACGAACATCATACATACATACATACATACATACATACATACATACATATATATATATATATATATATATTCCCTTGACCATCATCATGCATCATGTTCTTAATTGACTTAATTACAAAGTAATTATATTGTTTTTTGCATGCATGCAGGTAACCACGAGTGATGGTTACATACTCAGCGTGCAAAGAATACCTCACGGGCGCTTAGGCCGCCGCCGCCGCCGTGACCCTCCCAGTCCAACTAAAAACCGCCCTCCCGTCTTGTTTCAGCACGGACTTCTATTAGTATGTACATATCCCTATATATTCTTACCCCAATGGGTTGAATTAATGATATAAATAGCACTAAAACATAATGACTTTCCTTAAATAGTACAATATGCGTTTTTCTTTCTAATGTAGTACTTTTGGTCATTATGCATTAGTCATTATTCAAGTAAGTATTCGTCATCACGGGATATTATGGACATTATTAAGTGATATTTAGGGAATAAACAATTTAATTGCTATTTAGGGAAATGACTTAAGTTTTAGTGCTATTTAGTGCAAATATTTCTTAATTAATCCCATGACATGAAAGAGCATTCATCGAGTTTTAATTTCGTTGGCAGTGAGCTAAGATCGACTTTTTACGTTCCTATAATAATTAAATTATAGTAAAAAACATGGTATACAGAATATATACGGGGTATAAAACAATCTTTAGAAATTGCTTTACAAGATAAAAACGTATTATAATAATATACTCCGTAACTTTTATTATTTCACTAGTGGTCACACCTAACCCATTTTAATACTCCCTCCGTCCACCTAAGATCTTTCCATTACGCGTTACGAGGCTTGATTGATTTTATTTTCACTTCAATTTAATTGATTATAGGAATAAAATTTTAAAATAAAATTTATATGTATAGTAATAAACAACATGAAAAGTTCTACAAAACTAGATGTGACAAGGTTGTATTATTATTTTACGAAATGACTAGTAAAAATGAGCAAACAAAGTGAATAAAGTTTGAACATGTGAATAGTGTCTGGGGAGATCTATGGTGGATAGAGTGGGTAATTATTAGACCGAAGTAATTGTTATTTAATTAACTAATGTTAACATTTTCTAATTTTTAATTGCAAAAATTTAAAACTAGCTAGACAAATAGTCAAATTCAAAACTTCACAAATAGCATGAGACGGTAGTATTTTACTTCCTCGAGCCCACAAAGTACTTGTTATAATTATTAGAAGATTTAAGAAAGAGATATTTTGGTATACTATTTCAAATTATCTTTGATTGGATGTGTAAATAAAAGTAGGATGTAAATATGTAATAAATAGTACTCCCTCCAATCTAAAAAATAAGAGTTTTTTTCACCAAGTCTAAAATTAAGGAAGTGTTATATTGTAGTTGACTTCCAATTTTTCCCTTGATATGATGGTAAAAGTAAGATGTGATGGATAGATTATTAGAGAAAAAGTAGAATGTGATAGGTAGGATATGAAAAAGTAAGGGTAAAATGGTTTTTTAATAGAAAATGGTAATGTTGTGTTGGATTTGGAAAAATAAAAGAGGAAGTATTTTTGAGAACGAAGGGGGTATATTATTATACTCCTCCGTCCCCCATAGATCTTCCCAATAGCCATTTTTCTTTGTCCACAATACATCTTCTCATTTCATTTTTTAACAATTAAAATACCACAACTACCCCCACTTACTTTATTTATTACCCCTCACCCACCTTATTTAATACACTCCACTCATTTTCATTAAGGGTATTATGGTAAACTTTTATCTTTTTTCAACTCTTCTTAAAAACAACAAAAAGTCAAAATCAGAACATCTTAGGTGGACGGAGGGAGTAGTTGTGAATATAATATGTCCGATATAATTATTATGGTAAAAATTAATAGAAGTAAAACTAGTTTGCCGAAGGGGTATATGGAGTATTATACTCCTTCCGTCCCAAAAAGATTGGTACATATTGACTTTTTGGAAAATTAAGGGAGAGATATTTTGGTGTTGACTTTTCAAAAATACCCTTGATGTGATGGGTAAAAGTAGGATGTGATCGGTAAATTATTAAGAAAAAGGTATGATGTGATAGGTAGGGTATGGAAAAGTAAGGGGTAAAAGTTGTTTTTTAATATAAATGTAACGGACTTTACAAGACGCAGTTTTTTTGAAACGTGTTGGACTTTTTGGGACGGAGGGAGTATTAAGCAATGCATATGATGTGTGTGTGTGTGTGTGTGTATTTATCAATGTATGTATATAAAATGGGTGATTTGTGGATGCAGGATGGGCGGTCATGGTTCTATAATAAGGCAGAAGCAAATCTGCCGATGATTCTGGCAGACAAAGGGTATGATGTGTGGATCTCCAACACTAGGGGTACCGAATACAGCAGACGACATCAATACCTTGATCCCAATGCCAGGGTACGTATTATTATTTGTCCATTCATTAAATTTGTTTATTCATAAATACTAGACAACACAACCTAGCTAATTAATAACTTCAGTAGTATTTCTAATCCTCTAATAGCTAAGAATAATTTAATTTCGATCATTATGAATTTATTTTTTTCTTCCTATTTGCTTGACTCTTTTTTTTGGAGGGAGTAAAAGACCGTAATAACATGTATTGCAGGAATTTTGGTACTGGACATGGGACCATTTGGCAAAATACGATCTACCAGTTCTGATAGACCTTGTTTTCAAAACGACTGGGCAGAAGGTCCACTTTGTTGGACATGCGCTGGTACGTACGCACGCACGCATGCAAAACACATCGATCCATCCATGCATGATACACAACATACTCTGATACTCCCACGGACATGCACTCAAACTTCACTACTTTTAATTTTGTAAATAAATATCCATTGCAAGAAAGAAATTAAAAACCGTTTTCATTGAAGAAAAAAAAAAAAGACGAACAGTATATAAATTGTACTCCTTCCGTCCCTAAATAAAGTTCCTCTTTCGTTTTTTCTTTGTCCCTAAATAAACTTCTCTTTTCCCTTAAAAAACCCATTTTACCCCTTACTTTTTCATACCCTACCTATCACATCATACCTTTTTACTAATAATCTACCTATCACATCTTACTTTAACACATCACATCAAGGGTATTTTTGGAAAGTCAACACCAAAATATCCCTCCCTTAAATCCTCAAAAAGTCAAAAATGGAACTTTATTTAGGGACGGAGGGAGTACTACATAGTAATAATAAATATAATTAAAAAAAATGTTGGAGAAATATATATAATGTTCGTACATGATGCGCGCGGCATTGGGCGGTGCGTGGATGCAGGGGAGCTTGTTATGCTTGGCAGCGCTGGCGGAGGGGAATGTGGGCGTGGACAAAGTGAGGTCGGCGGCGTTATTGAGCCCCACTGTTTACGCCTCCCACATGACCTCTATCCTCGTTAAAGCTGCCGTCAAATTGCATATCGCCGAGGTACGTTAAAATATATTCTTTTTGTCCCCAAATAGATTACAATCTTTTTTTCTCTCTTATTAATAACTTTTGTTAATTTGTATGTTTTCATTGACTACTTCTTCCATCACAAAAAGACATTCATGTTTCAAAAAACTATGTCTCCAAAAGTTTTTCTCATTTCTACTAAAAAACATTTTTACTCCTTATTTTTTCATACTCTACCTATCACATTATACTTTTTTCCTAATAATCTATACATCACATCCTACTTTTACCCATCACATCAAGGGTATTTTTGGAAAATCAACATAAAATTATCTCTCCCTTGTTTTACCACTTTAGTCAATATGTTCATATCTTTATGAGACGGAGGGAGTATTAGTTAAAATAAAATATTCTTGTCGCTTTTTATTGTGTAGAACTTTTGATGTAGTTTTTTAATATGTAGTTTTTTCTTATTGATGTACCAATTTCTAAATAAAATAATTTTAAAAGACGAAAGTTTTTGGCTCGTAACTCCAATTTGTAATCAAATTTGGGATGAAAGGAGTATATATGATCCATTATTACTCGTCTTATTTAGTATTCCTTCCATCTAAAAAACTCCTTTCTCTTTCTTTTTATACTTGTCTGAAGAATAATGATTTTCTATATTGATGTCGGAGGTCAAGCCTCGAATATATACAAGATACAAGTCTCCTAATTGTGGTAGGATATAAATGCAATCCTTCTATACAAGGGAAACTACCAAATATATAATAATATATTAAATATACAACATATATTTAACATTGTCCCACAAAGTCATTTTCATTTCTATTAAAAAATTACTTTTAGACACATTAATTCTTAATTTATCTATCACATCATATTTTTTTACTAATAATCTACACATCGCATCCTACTTTTACCTATCACATTAATGATATTTTTGAAAAGGGAGCACAAAAAATATTTTTTAAAATTTCTTAAAATCAAAAGGAGAATATCTTTTTTGGGACGGAAGAAACATTAATTATTAATGAGTACGTACTTACTCGTGCGATTTCGTGCATGTATATGATATATGTTGGGGAGCAGCTGGGTGCACTCCTTGGCCTTTATGAGTTCAATCTGAATAGGTATATACACACATTCATTTAGTATTTAATTCGTATATGCCATGTGCTCGATCAAATGAACTAATTATATTGATTACTCCGTATGAATCTAATTATTGCAACAGTGATCCTGTGTCACGCCTCGTGAGAATGTTGTGTTCTCAGCCATCGGTTAGCTGCTATAACTTGCCAACCCCCCTCACTGGTACATAGATACACTGCCTATACATACACACACACACACACACACACACACATATTGAGGCTTGTTGAGAGTTATATATGTTTAATGTTTTTAGTCTTTTTAAAGAATATATATATATGTATGTATGTATTGATGATGGGTGGAATTCATGAACTGATGATGCATGGACAATTGGTTTTGGCAAAGGTAAAAACTGCTGCATCAATAGCGCGGCTATACGACATTTTGCAGAGAGTGGGATGCAATCTACATCAATCAGGAACCTCAAGCATTTATCTCAGAGTAATTAAGGATGCATATACTATACGAACCTCAAATGCATCTAATTCATTAATTAATTAGCTATATATATATATATGCTAATTAAGAAGTACTTGAATCCGGACGTGCGTATTATATATTATTATTGATGGATGTGCGTGCATGCATGCATGCAGATGTTCGTCACGGGACATTGGAAAAATACGATTATGGGAACGCGGAAGTGAACATGCAGCACTACGGCGGAAGAAAGCCACCCCTCTACGACTTGAGCCGCATCCCGAAGAACCTTCCGGTGTTCATAAGCTACGGAGGTGCAGACCAGATGGCTGACGCCGCCGACGTGAAAGTTCTGCTGGGAGAGTTGAAACCGGCGTTGAACCCTGACATGTTGCGGGTTCAGTACGTCCCCAACTACGCTCACTACGACTTCATCATGGGACTCAATGCCAATCATCTTGTTTATACCCAACTTATTGCCTTCCTTGATCCCCTCAAATAGCTAGCTCAATTCATTACAACTCCCTCATCCATACATGTATAGTAAAATGCAATATAAACCCATGGCCACCGAGCTAGCTAGCTAGTATATATATATTTCATATCGATCATTCCTCGTCTTATATATTTGTATACATGCATATATGCACACTTTACTATATATGCACATATATGGTACCTACTCCGGCCATCCCATCCCATCCCATCCGTATCTAGCTAGCTAGTTTTATGTTCCATGCATGGTATCAATTCTCTCTTGGCCTCTAGCTGGCATTGATTACTTGATACTCGATTCATCATGATAAAGCCTCGTCCGTTACTTATCCTGTCATGCAAAGTCTTAAATCTTTTAATTAACTAATTAATTCTTTGAATTTTTAAAAGAAATATTTGCACTAAATATCACCAAAACTTAAGTCATTTCCCTAAATAGCACTTAAACTGTTTTGTTCTTTAAATAGCACTAAATAATGTCAATAATCTTTTTAAAATGCTTGTTTTGCAATCTTATACTGTATGTGAGATCTACTACTCCCTCAATATCTTTACTATTTTGACTTTTTTAGTCAAACAATAACATATTCGGATTACAAATTGTGCGAAAAGTATATTTTTATAATATAAATTAAATATAGTCGGGTTCATCTTAGAATTTAGTTTTGATTTATCAAATCTTTATATCATTTGTTTTTTTAGATTATGTTTAATTTGTGATCAAAGACTGTCATTGTTTAACCAAATAAAGTCAAGACAAGAAAGGTTTTTTTGGACAAGATGGAGTATATATTGGAATATTGATACAATATATTCCCTCCCTCCCTTAAAGTTCTTCCATTATGGAAGGGATACTCTTTGTGTTGACTTTCTAAAAATACTCTTGATGAGATAAGTTAAAGTAGAATGCGATGGATAGATTATTAGTATAAAAAAAGTATGATGTGATAGGTAAGGTAAGATTTAGTAAGAGTAAAAGTGATTTTTAATAGAAAAAGGAAGGAGTTTGTGGGGCAAGAAAAGAAGAACAAAGATTTTAAGCGACAGAAGGAGTATATTAAATTTATTTGATTTCTTGTAAGACATATTATCAAAATATTATTCATTGATCTAATTAATATACAATATACTCATTTCGTTCTCTAAACACTTCCTCCTTCATTTTTTCTACTTCAAATAAAATATTTCAACTTTTTATTAAAAAATCATTTTTACTCTTACTTTTTCATACCCTACCAATTACATCATACTTTTTTTCTAATAATCTATCCATCACATCTTACTTAGCTTTACCCATCGATCACATCAAAGACAAAATTGGAAGTCAACTACAATTTAACACTTCCTTATTTTTACACTTGGTCAAACTATAAACTCTTTTTTAGAATGGAAGGATTATATTTTATTTAATTATAGGTCAAAGGTTTAAGATAGTTGACGGAACAAGTCAAAATTGATAAATACTATACTCGAGGGAGTATAAGGTATTTTAGTATTTCTTATCATTTGGATTTAAATAATGTAGTAAATTTGCACTAAATATGACTAAAATATAAGTCATTTTCTCAATATAGGACTTAAACCTAGCTTTTTATTCCATAAATAGTACTTAATAATGTCTAGAATGAGAAATAATGTCTAGTGATACTATACATTTACTTAAATAATGACTAATAGATAATGACTAGTAGTCCTACATTTGAAAATAAAAACATATGATCCTATATTGAGAAAGTCATTATATTTTAGTCCTATTTAGGTAAATTTTCTTTTAATGTATAGTATGTACTTGAAATGCTCCTTTATAATTAAGTATTTTTTTCCAAACTGATAGTTTCTAAGTTAATACTTTTAATTTCCAAAATAGAGTCCATGAGGCTACTTGAGGTGGGTCAGTTACTCTAGCATGCAACCATCTTCTTTATTTAATATGATCATTTTCAAGATTTATTCATAGTTTAGATAATGGAAAATATAAGAATACACTCTATTTAACTGTTATTTAATAAACATTTTTAACAAAGGACTATTTAGGGAGTACATCTCAATTACAAAGGACTATGTTAGTAAGTATTGTTTATTGGGGACTAATTTGGAAAAACACCTTATTAGAAAGAGAAATTTACCTAAATAGGACTAAAACATAATGACTTTCCCAATATAGGACTATATGTTTTTATTTCCCTATGTAGGACCTTTGGTCATTATCAAGTAGTCATTATTCAATTAAATGTCCATCATTACTGGACATTATTCCTTCCACTAGGTCATTATTAAGTCCTATTTATGGAATAAAAAAGTTTAAGTCCTACATTAGGAAAGTCATTATGTTTTAGTCATATTTAGTGCAAATTTCACTATTAGAAAGGACCATTTTGTGAATTCATCTATTTATTATTATTGTCTAAATCCCTCCCCCTTAAGTTAAAATCACGTTGAAGGGTGAAGCAAGAGAAAGCGTGAACAGTAACAGGGAACTGGAAACCTTGAGAAGAGAGAAGTATGACGTGCGCTGGTAGCTGCTCACGTCGAAAAAGAAGAAGAGAAGCTAAGGTTGGCATGTGCTAATAGTTGCTGTCGTCGAGAAGAAGGCTATTGAATGTGCCTGTATTACTTAAGATTTTTGACATTCTTTATTATTTCCTTTCCTTATTACTCTCTCCATCCATTAATTTCTTTCTCACTTTCTTTTTTGGACTGTTCAAAAATTTCTTTCTCGTTTCCTAGTTTGACAAAGAACTTTTGATGAATGTGTCATTATACTCTTTTTTTCTACACTATGGAAAGTCTTTTTTTACTTTTTAACTTTTCAATCTCCGTGTCAGGTCAAACTGGAAAAAAAAATTAGATGGAGGGAGTATATTGTCTCTATAATTGTTATTCTATTACAATTTGGATTCTCTCTTGTATTCCTTATATTTGAGATGAAACTTTTATTGTTTAATAAGATCAATTATTATCAAATCGTATCTTACAATGATTAACTGATGTGGCATGGGTAGCATGAAAAATATTACGGCAGTAAATATTTTCTAAAACTCATAAAATTAAATTAGATGTCCAAATAAATCTAATAAAATTTTATACAATCATTTTATATAATCTGGATATTCGGCCAGCATAAAAAAATTCCAGAATATTTCAAATGACCAAAATGCCCTTTTGCAAAATTATATTCAAAAGGCCATTAATATTTTGAAACAATTTTGCAAAAATCATGAAAATTAAATTTCAACTTCCAGTAGTTATTTTTAACATTTATAAACCTGGAAATAAAATTTCCAAAATTTATAAATCATTATTTCCAAAATATATTAGTTAAATCTCAATAAGTTATAAAAAGCCATTTAAATTGATTTCGAAAATATTAAATTACAAAAATTTAATATTTTGAAAAACATTCTTTTTCTTACTGAGATATAACTTTCCAAAATATATATTAGTCATTTATGTAATTAAAATACAAATATATAAATATATATAATATTTCGGTAATAAAACCGAGTACATATATAAATATATATTTATTTAATTACTAACTAATATTATTTTGAACAATATATTTACCAACAACCTTATTCAACTTAGAAATAATATTTCCAAGTTTAATAAAGTTCATTTTGAATTTTCCCATATTTATTTTC